AAAAAACTGGGTTCCATTGTTTCTACTCTTGGATAGAAATACAATCGGGTAAATTATATTCGTTGGAAGAGAAATTGAGATTTGTATCGTTCTAATTAACGTGGTTGTAACCGTGGGTCGAAATAAATACTTGGGTTAATTCGATGGTCGTTTCCTCGTTGAACGAGTTCTCTCTTTCGGGGTGAACGATAAACGATGCCATTTGACGATGCGTGGGGGGAGGGATAGGGAGGGGGGGGGGGAGAAAACTGCAAAGTGCTTAAAAAATAAACAAGGGAAAAATCGTTCGTTGTTTATCGCGAAAAAAAGAAGAAAGAGAGAGAGAGAAGAACGTAAACGTTTACCCTGGTGCACCCTAGTTAAAAATCAAATATTTTCTTTGAACGATACCCCTCTCCCTCGAATCGTTTAATTCATTCTTTCTTTTTTTAACTTTTTTCGAACGACGCGGTCGATTAATTTTTACTTTTTCCAGTGTAACCACTGGTCAAGTCTCGATTAATAATTTTTCCACCCTCGACGATCGCTTCCCCTCTGTGATTGACTAATCCGCCATCCCCAGCGATTTATCTAAATTCCAATCCGGATATCGCGATACGGGACGCTCGTCGTCGTTTCCTTTTTTTTTTTTCTTTTTTTAATCTTCCTTTTAATCCCTTTTTTTAATCGACGATTTTGTAACCGGATGAGATGGATGGAAGCTTCGAGGGGAGGGGAGGATTTTTACACGACGATTTTTATATCGTCCCCGTTACGAGGAATTGGACGTAACGCTTTCTTATAAATTTCGTTTAACACCGATATTTACGCGAGAAAGATCGATCATACGATCCTTAACGTAACGAGAATACGAGACCCATAAAATTGTCGACGAAATGGAAATTTTATGGGGATAAAGGAAAGGAAGAGAGAGAGAGAGAGAGAGAGAGAGAAAAGGGAAAAGTAGTAGTTTCATCCGAGAAGAATTGCCGGATATACATCAAAGAGATTCTTTAAAAACGTAAAAAAAAAAAAAAAAATGCGCATTCACGTTCCAAACGTTCCTTCGTCCAAATGGTTTTCCTTTGGGGAACCGCTTCGAATAACAAGAAACACAGAGGCCGGGTTGCGAGATATGACCAGATTAGATTTAATCCCGTGAAAATCGATTTAAAGATTTTTCCATTCCGTTTCATTAACGAATTTTCCCTCGTGTTTCTTCAATTTGACGCAAATATCGATCGATTATATTATATACTCGTAAACAAACAAAATATCTCTTTTCCCTCTCGCGTAATCTCGAAACATCGATCGCCTTTCTTTCTTTCTTTCTTTCTCTCATTGAAGACAAGATAAAATGCAAAATCTCGCGAGAGGGAAAAAAGGACAAAGTCGGGTGAAAAATTGAAAAATTTCGAGGCATACAAAGATTACACACACACACACACACACACACACACACACACACACACACACACACACACACACACACACACACACACACACACAGAGAGAGAGAGAGAGAGAGAGAGAGAGAGAGAGATTCCACGATCGAATAATATCGAGGAGGGATGATCTCGCGGTGGCGAGATTCATTAGCAAACAAAGAAGATCGAAATTAAGATCGTGGGTAGAAAACGCTGGAATCGATGATTTATATCGCCGTGTCAATGTTATCAATGCATTTAGATTAATAGTTTCGTGGATATGACAGACGGTTTGATAATAATTTACCGGGTGCGCCCGTGTAATTACTATCGATCCATCCGAGGAACATCTGGATTGATGGCAAAGCTATCGGTAACCGTCACCACGAGTCCACCTCTATAATGATGTTCGAACAAATATAATCCGAATGTTTCGATTCGATCCTTGATCTATGAAAAACCAACGACTCGAGACGATTGTTCCATGAATTCCACCCACGAATTAACGTGTAAAACACTTTTATATTTTGATATTTTATGTATCTTTTCGTAGGGAATATTAAATTCTATATATGTATATATCGTTGTTTCGATATTTTGCAAAGCAGATTTGTCACGGTATATCACGGTAAAACAGTCTTCTTTATTTCGTTGAGAGCAAACGTTTATAATCCTTCTTAATTTCTGTTAATATGCTCTCGCATTCACCGTCTACTGTTTCTATTTTTCGCCCTTCTCATACTTCTTTTCTATCTTCATCGTCAATCTTTTCGAATAGATATCAATTTCGTCGATTCAAAAAAAACGAAACGTCAAACTCGAACCATTACCACTTCTTACAAAACTCGATTCCTTTGAGAATGATATTCCACCGATCTAATCTGAGATAAGAAAATCTAAAATTTGAGATCAACAATCTATCCTGTGATATTGTAAAGGAAAAAAATAATTGTTCGAGTTTAGACCACCATTTTTACCATTCTCCTCACTGTCCCTTATCTCCCTAAATTACACCTGTTTTCACGAGAATTCACGCTCGTGCTTTGTAATTTTGACGGGTAAAAGTGAAGAGTCCCGATATACTGGATCGCGACTGGAAAATGGCGAGGTTTTAACGATCCTGCGATATATATATATATATATACGTATATATATATATATATATAAAACCGTGAGGATGGAAGATTTTGGCAGACGGAAGCGAAACCGGGTGATGGTGGTGGTAGTGGTGCTGCATCGACGAAAACGAAATGATAATCTTTGTGTGCAGGCTGGCTGTGCTCCGTTCGAATTCGCGACTCGAAGCCTCGTATCGCGGGCGGGAAGAGTGGTTTGAAAACACGGCGGCGGATCGGGCACGGCGCGGTTAACGAGCGGAATTCCCAGCGATTATGGCCGGCGATGACATACCTCCGCTTCTCTCGTTCAAAGAGTTGGAACTAAGCCACAGCTATTCGATTCGGAAGCTATTTACAGAGTTGTACGCGCGTATAAAACTAAAAATGGAAAATATCTTAAAATCTTGGATGAAAATTCGAAATTCCTGACGATTCCTGATTTTTTTAAAATGAAAATATACGCGACAAGATCGTGTATACAGGATCGTTTTTATATAAAAACGTGGGACACTTTTGAAGGATAGATTCTAGACATCGAAACGATGAAAAAAGTTCGTATGCATATACGTCCGATAAGGCTTGATTAACGAGTTATTAAGTATTTTAAGTTTGTATTGGATTGTACGAGACGGCGAAAGAGCGAGAACGCTCTACTAAAATGAATTTGTAATGTAATATAATGTACGTATTATGTAACTTCTTATTTAACGAAAATTTACCTCGAATAAGTTTCTATTATAATAATTTATAAGTTTCTATTATAAATAACTAATTACATTTCAATTTGCATAATTAAAATTTTTTTCTTAAATATAAAAATATTGTATAGTTACATTACACGATATTTATATACATTATCTTATATCAAAATTCATTTGAAATAATCAATTGTATATAAAAAAAAATATCAAAAAATATTTACTTTCATCGAATACAACAATTCAACTATGGATTCAAATGATATCTTTGTATATATAAAATAATTTATCTATGGATTTATATAAAATGATGTATATAATTAATATTCTAGAAATTTCCTAAAACTTACTCGAAATAATATAGTATATTTAATAAATAGTATATTTACTTTCTCGTTCTTTCATCGTCTCGCTCTATCTAATACAAACTTAAAATGCTTGTAACTCCTTAATCAAGTCTTATCGGACACACGTGTATATATAAACTTCTTTTTGATATCTAGAATCCACCTTCCAAAAGTGTCCCACATTTTTATAAACATTTTCTTTTTTTTCAGAGCGAAATTAAATGGGAAGAGATTTGATTGATCTCGAAAGAAGCGTTTCCTTGCACCGTTTACGGGAAAATTAGAAAGAAGGAAGGCGAGCGCGTGTAGATGACACCGGTTGACTCGTATTCGTTCGTTCAACTGAGAGGAGGGGGGAAGGCGTCACGCTTCGCATCCTCTCGCTAAGAGGCGAGGAGTAACGGATAAACTGGGCGCGTGGTGATCGTGGTAGCCGGGCCAATAGTCGACCAACTTCGCTTCGAAGCAGCACGCGAACCGTTAACTTTCCTGTTATCGTTTATTAAGCCTCTCGGAGAGTGTTCGCTTGGAAATTGGAGCGGAACGACGTTGCCCTCGAAGGAAGAAAGATCCGTCGCGTGAGAACGATCGAGCTTGTTGTTAATTAAAGAAGATGGGAAAGTAATGATGCGAAAAATTGGTGAGAATAAGATAAAAAAATAAGAAAAAAAAAAGCGCAGCATACCGTGTCCAGTTCGTTCAAGGCGAGTGAAAATTCGAAGATGCGATCAATTTGCGATGTTGTTCCACTCGTTTCCTTTCGAGAAAATTCGAAATTTTTCGAATTTTTTTCAGCCACGATATCCTGCCACGCAACATTTGAATTTGAGATTTTTGGCCTTTTTCAATCTCTCTCTCTCTCTCTCTCTTTCTCTTCGTTTCCGAACGAAACTCCATGAAAATCCATGACGGGCGATGGAAAAAGGGAAATGCGAAAGGTGGAGAACGAGAAGAGAAGTGGAAAAACAATTGTTGAGGGAGATTTAATTTCGAAATAATCCAGAGTGGATTATTATTATTATTATTATTATTATTATTATTATTATTAGACAGAAATTTGAAATTCCGGCTAATCTCCGGCAACAAATTCGATGCTAGTAAATGAATTTCACTCCGCGCGTTGCGTTCCAGCATCCCTGTCGATTTATTACTTTTACGGAATGTTGGACGAGTTATGTCTGGTAATATAATTCGTGTACATTGGAATCCCGATTATAGTTTCAGGAAGACGGAACAAGCGTGAGCGTGTTGCAATGGACACCGTCGATCGAAGACGAGGGGAAATTTCTGGTGTGCAGGGCGACCAATCCGAAGCTGCAGGACACGGGTATCGAGGAACGATGGAAGCTAAAAGTGCATTGTAAGTGTATACATCGTATCTTTCTCTCTTTTTCTCTCTTCTATCTCTTTTTCCTTCCTCCCCTCCCCCTCCTCTCATACCATCTTACAATATAAAATTAACGAGATCGATAGGAATTCCTGGCGCGCCTTCGCCCTCGTTCTCGATTATTCAATTATTTCGATAAATTTGAGAAAGCTCGGTCTCCCGGAATTGCGATCGAGACAAAGAAGAGTAGGAGAAGAGAAGAGAGAAGGGGGGGGGGGGATTCGTGATGTACGCGAGCGGAATTTAGAAGAAATTGATACTCGTAGACCTCTGCTCTAGAAACCGAGAAAAGAAAGTTAAATGTCCTCGGCTTAAAAGAGGATTGGTGAAATAGGTGACTCACCGGCTAACGCATTGATTTCTCGTGGAAACGTGCCGTCTCGCTGTTATTGCTCCTCTTTGAAATATTCCTTCCCCTTCCAAATGTTAATTGCTAATAAAAGAACGAATCATCAAGTTCGATTCAGCGAGAATTGAAATCCGATGGATCAATTACCCATTATCTTCGGAAATTCGAAATAAAAGAAGATGTTATGTAGAATGATTATTGGGGGGGGGGGAGGGGGATCGTTGACTCTTGCAAATATTATTCGCGGCCAAAGATCGTACGATTCCTGGTTAATTCGATTTCGATGGATTTCCACCAACCACGGAGACACCAGATATAGAGAGCCTTTACGACGAAATTACGTGCCGGCTAATCTGTCCTGCCAACATTCACCTGTATAACGTAAGCCAGATACGAGCTATCGTTATCCGTTTATTTACGACTGCGTGTCCGATCGGCCACTCGATGCATCCGCCATTACCCTTGTTTCCCACGCGTGTACGTGTGCGATATACGCATGCGCACGTATATACGGTGGATACTTGGCGCTAGTCCGACGGACGAGTAACGCGTACAACGTGATTCATTCGTTCACGATGCCTCGTTCTGGTAATTTCACGATTTCATTACATCGCATTAACACCGATAACCGATTTTTCATAACGACGACGACGACGACGAGTCTTTTGCTTTCATCGAAATCGAAGAGGGAAATCGTTTTATCCCAAAGAACGATTATACATTGCGCGAAACGAAATTATTTCTTGAATTATAACGGTTGATAAAAAGTGTACAGTTTGTCCCGAGTAACGAGATTATCTCGTTCGATCAAAGGTCACGAGAGATCGAGTTAAAATCGCGAACGCTAATAAACCTTTTGCCGCGATGGAATATCGATACACACCAATACTCGAGCAGGGATATTCCCCGATGGATTCTTCCTCGCGACGAAGAATCAATTCGAATAACTCGCTCGCAATCCGAATAATCCCGTAATAACGGTACAAGTCAAGGAAACGGACGAGAAATATTGAACGCTTCCAATTTTATTTCGTGAACGCGATATAATAAATTTTTAAACAAAAATTTTCCTCGAGTTTTTCGATACGCTATTCGCTGATCGCCGTCCGGAATAATATCTTTTCGAGATCTCTAGGGTAAACACGGTAATAAAATTACTAGAAAAATAAAACCGGTACCCGTATTCGTCTTAAATACGAATAAGAATTCGCGCATGCATATGTAATATGTGGTTGGCGCCGGAACCAAAAAGAAATACGTCGCGTAAATCGTTTCCATATTTTTACATAATCCATCGTAAGGAGGGGAAAGGGGAAAGGGGGGAAGAACAGGAGATGTTACTTGACGTAAAATCGAGTGAGGAGGAAATGGGCGGCTGTTATTGTTACAAAGTGGACTGTATAACTGTTTACTGTACAGTTTACCGGTGGCTAACGATACAATTACGTATCTGTCAACGTCAACCTCGAGCTGTCAGTGGTAACGGTACGTGATATATCAGACGCATCAGGCCCGCGCATTTCCATCTCGCCTCCGTCCACAGATCGGAAAATCCTTCTTCAATCGATCGCCATATCGAGCGACGTGGAAAGAAGGAAAATAAGAAGCAAGTTTTGAATCTCTTCCGATCTATTCGTTTCGAGAACTCGCGATTGCTGCCATGCAACAGTGGTTCGAACGATATATGTATATTAAATAGATAAAATTTATTTTTAAATTTACAAAAAATAATTATATATTAAAATCTTAAATCCTTTCCTTTTTAAACGTTTACAACAAATTAAACAAAATGTATACATAGGCAGAGAATTAATCGATAACTGATCGGTCAATAATTGAGAAATATTCTGTAAAGAATTTATTAAGAAGCATTTAAATTTCTATTTTTAATTTAAATCGTTATTTACCGATAAGTTTTTTGTTTCTTTTGTAAATTAATTTTAAAGTTAAAGTAATGATTTTTCAATGATTCTTTATATGTTCCACGTCATTCCACGCGATAAAAGTTGGATATATGAAAAACTTTCTACTTTTTCTTTTATTGCCATATTTGATTGAAACTATGCTAAAATTAATTTTGTTTATGGCCGCACATCAGCGGATTATTTAATCCAGCCAGACATTTATGGATTAATTTTAATCTATCTTATATTATAATAATGCGTTTATATCACTGTTCATTTATTATATATTTTGGAGAAATAAGCGATAATAATATTCCTAACTTTAGTTGACAATTTTTTCTTTTATTCCTTTCGTTCTCTCAATCTTTTTTCTTATATTCGTATTTTTATATATTTTTAATACATCGACCATTACGTAATAATAAATTATAATAAAAAGCAGTGTTGTTCTCTAAGAAGGAAGAAAATAATTTTTTTCCTGTTAGGCCCTCTCTCTCTTGAATATGGCTGTGCTTTGTGAATCGCGTCGAAACGAAGTTTAATCCAATTGGTTTAAAACGAGGGAGGAATCATAGAAAGAAACGTATCGAATTACGGGATTCGCGGATTCGATTAAGAGAAAAACGGTTAATTGGAGGGGAAGGGAGAGACGAGGATCGGTGGCTCCGTGTCACGTGGTTAACGATCTGCTCGCAGGCGCGAGCCATCTATGTTCCTACGGCTGTGGAATCCGAGACATAGCGCGTGTTCATTTGCCGGAAAGCTATTTCCTCCCTTCCATTACCGGACGACCGTGTATCGCGCATATTTGCGCCCGTGCGATCGAATCTCTTCGTTTTCGTTCCCGCACCTCCACGCACACGCATACACACATGAGCTATGTAAAACTACGAACTATGCGTCAACGTCGTGCCAACTATGTTTCTTTCTTTTTTTTTCTGATTGGCGAGAAAAAAATATCCTTTCTTCGAGAAATTTATAAAATTCACTCGACAATCGTGAAAAGGGAAATCGATCGGAAAAGGGAAAGAGGGAGGGTGATATCGTCGTCCCAGTAGACCGCTACCCTAGTGCCACAAATCACCACAAAGCGCGATATAAATGTTCAGCTTTGGTTTTACTTGTTAGTTTTACTTATTTATCGAAACACGCGGCTAACATTTCTTTCTTCACTTCTCTTTCGAGCTATTATTCCTATCTTTTTTTCCCTCCCTCCTCCCCTCTTTTTCTCTTTCGTGAAACGTTATTTTGTTATACACACAGTTGATCGTTCTCGGGGAAAAACGTGATAAAAGTTTCGTCGACGGGAAGGATAATAGAAATTGGAAAGTTGACAATCTAGAAAACGAGTCGGAGACTCGACTCGTAGACTCGAGAGTTCGGGGCCAAACAACCTGGTCCGCGCGAAACCTGGCAAACTAATAATAATTCTCCCGTAGTAAACACGTTGAGAGATGCAACTCTACTCGCCAATTATGTCGTTTCTACTCTGGGCAAAATAGACAAAGTTTTGAAACGCGTCTCTCTTCCTCCCTCTCCCCTTCTCGAAAATTATGAACTCGGGTCAACAACGTCCCCCGACCCATCCCAGATTGATAGAGAGAACCCGGGCAAAGAGACACGTTGCATCTAATTAATATCTAGCGGCACAACTGCGTGACAAATCGAAACGGAAGGAAACGGACTCGGTGAATGCGTGCTCGGTAAGGATATTCCTTCGTGCTGCGAAATATAATTACGCTTCGCTCGCTACTACTTTCCTATCTCCGAGCCTTTGCTTAAAATAATTCAGAGACATTCGGATAAAGAGAGAGAGAGAGAGAGAAATTTGAATTTCCCGACCGCGCTTCGTTTCGTCTTGCCGAACAACGAACTTTGCAGAGAAGGAAAAAAAACGCACGAAATTCGAAATTATACAATAATATTGACCCTTTGCACTCTCCCAAATTTCTTAGCTAATTTAAAATGACTTCACGCGCGAATCAACGTATAAAACTTTTGTATTGTTATATTTCGTGTATCTTTATATGAAAAAAGAAAATTTATCGAATGTTAAATTGTCTATATCGTTATCTCCTACGATATTTTAATAACGTGCTCTCATATTCACCGTTTATTATTTTTCTTTTTCATTTTCTCTTACTACATTTCTATTTTTATTTTCCGTCTCTCTATCCTCGATTTTTTAACGAATAGAAATAATTTTGTTATTTAACAACGAAAACTCAAACTCATCTTCTCTAACTTCATTACCGTATTCCATGCTTACAAAACTAGAAAACTTTGAAAATAATATTTCTATTCCCACTAACCGTCAAACTCGGTCCGTCAACAAACCGAATTGTAGTGTAATTCGATCCGCGATGTAGTTTGAGATAAAAAAAGTCTAACCGTTCGACGGTATATTATTCTACGCTTCTCAAGGTTAAACGTGAAGAGCCTTAGGAATCTATTCTATATTCTATATTTTAAAAGAAATCAAACGTAAATAAATATCGTCGCCATTCGAATTGCCCGAACGTAAAAGGTTAATCTCGCTTCGTCGTAATTTATCATCGTAACTTAACTAATTTATCACGCGTTCTGTCCCCCGATATATAACTTGATTACAAATCCCGTTACGAACTCGATACACGCGAAACGAAAGAGTAACAGTGGAGGAAAAAATTCGAACGGGAGAAAGCACAAATATTTTGAAAGGGTAGAAAAAACATTCCTGT